GAACACGGGCATTATCAGAAGACATGGTTGAAACTACAGTGACTTCAGTCATGGCAAAAAGACAGAGGAAACCTCACACGTGGCCAGTATCTGTTTATCTGAAAATGGCACTGGTACTTTTCACCATGGCAACTACATCAGCACTAGCCATGCCAAAAAATGAATCAAATACTACGACAAGTCAAAAAGGGGCATCAAACATCCTTCCAGAACATTCGATAAAATGCACGAGAGAAGGAATCTATCTAGATGCACCTGGACTACCAGAATACGAACTATGCGTAGACACCCACTGCGTAAAAGAACACTCTCCCCCAATACGAAAGATCATCAAATTACCGTCAGATACACTTCTTCACGACTATGAAGTCAAATGGAAGATACGTCAAGGAAGTGGGTTTGCCATCGTGGAAAGGATGTGCCCAGCACAACCATTCTGTCCAACGATCACTTGCACGATGTGTTCTGCCAACCTTTTAAACCCCGAATGTTGGCCAGTATCAGCAATTCTTGGTGTTGGGGCATTACTGTACATCATTATCATAATCTGCCACACGATCTGTTGCGTCCCCATTGTAATAGGTGGGCCACTCCAAATTCTTTCGAGAGGATTCTGCGGAATATGCTATATGTCATTGTACATCATCTTCAAAGGTCTATGCAAAATAGTAAAGCGCTCTGTCAGAAGACGACCAATTCGTACAAAGATACTAGCAGCCTTGGCTATCGCGTTCGTCTACTCAGGATGTTATGCATGCCAGATAGCCAACGTCCTCTCCCACCATATGCGGAGCTGTACCGTTTTGGAAGGAAAAAGGACCTGCAAGATGGAAATGACATCAGTGCTAAAAGTTAACAGTTTCAAGAAGGACGCATGTTTTCGACTTTTGCGCAACGAATCCACTGTCTTGGAAGTACAAATGACTTGGGAAGATGCACACTTACTTTGCGAAAAGTCAACCATCACGTACACGAGGAATGCAACACGAAGAGTCATCGATAGCAAACGCTGCCCAACAAAGGGCTCGTGCAAAGGAAACAAATGCGCAGATGTAAACCCCAACAGCAAAGTCAAGGAACTCGAAATCGGAAACAAATACCCAGGTATAACCGGTTGCTTCGAATCCTGTGGCGGGCTTGGCTGTGATTGTTTCTGGCCAAGTTCTGGCTGTCTGTACTACAGGGTTTACGCTGTTCCGGCAGACGAAAGGATCTTCGAGATTTTCTCATGCAGTCGCTGGCAAGAACGAGTGAAGGTTAAGGTGCACATAAAACGACCAGCCGAAAAGACATCCAGAACGTATGTGCTCGCGCTACATCCTAACATTCCAGTGCAGCTTCCCTCCCTGAGTTTCACACTCAGCGTGCTTGCCTTACCTCCGATACCAACTTTGAATACGGCATTCATAACTACAGAAGATTCCACAGCATTATGGAACACGAACAAACAACCTATGCTCTTGTGACCATCTCACGAACACGCGAGAGACCTCCGCTGTAGTCTACAGGATAACTGCGATTGTACTCCAGCAGAACTCCAGGTTGTTTGCAAATGCAAAGACGACGAAATATCCCAAAACTTCCAAGACATCAGCAACGTGCTTCCAGTGATACAGCCCGGCTTAAAAATCATTAAAAGCCCAAAATATGCTGTAGTAGCTCACATCGAACAAGGAGTATCCGCGGAAATCCTACTAAACGCAGGTGAAACTTTGGATGATAGCATTGTGGATTTTATAGAAGACCAGTGTACGGTTGATGACACCCATATCGCTGGATGTTACAACTGCAACAAGGGCGCAACAGCTGCCATTCAGTGCATTTCAAGATCAGAAGTAACATCAGCAGAAATTGACTGTGGAATCGACACCTTCACAGTACCGTGTTCACCATCAGGGGCATCTTCACAGCTACGATTCCATCTCACATCAGCAAAAACGCGGATTCAGTGCTCAGTAAGATGCGGACAGAAATCATCTTCGTTTGAGATCACAGGGATACTGAAGTACATTCACAACATGCATGACGGCTTCAAATACTCCTTCCAACAGAACCACAACAATACGTTTGAGTTCCAGTGGCCAGACTTTGGACACATAATTGACGTTTACCTACACTGGTACAAAATCGTGATCATCACACTGGCAGCGGTGGCAATAGCACTTACATTGACCTACCTATTTGTCGCCCCAGCATGCAAACGGATGATGGACATGTGTC